AAAAAAAAAAAAAAAAAAAAAAAAATTGTATGAAATTTTTTAGAAAAAAGTCTAAATGTTTTATTTCATAGATTGCATGGCAAGTAAAATGGAGCCAAAATAAACTAATTTTTAAAGAAATAAATGCTGAAATAGCTCAATCCAGTGCTTCTGAATATATGTCTGTGAACTATATTATAATTCAAATTTATTTATAAAGACTGTAGTTGGCAAATAAGATTGCTTCATAATCTTAAGGCTTGCAGAAACTTGAAAATATTTACTATGTGTAATGACTTTAGATTTCTTAAATAACTACCTCAATTAGGAACAAATTACCCAATCTGTGAACACTACATACTTAAGTGCATCAAATTATTGGTATTATAACCCCATCCAAAGTTTTAATGGTTCTTAGTGAGAAACAAATCAAAATAGATTCCACATGTCAGATGGTTGCAAAAAAATTCAAAATTCCAAATACTATAGATTAGATATCTCTCTCCCATTATATAGTTATTCTGTATTATAAATTCTAAACATAATCTTATTTTGAAAGAAAATATCTTTATAAATATGATATACAAAAACATGATAAAAACTTTTTAGGATATTTAACATTTTCTTTCTTTTATACAACCAAGAATGTACTGCTTCATCTGGACTGCCCCCATTATTTTGAAAAAATGGTTCTTACTTTCTTTTTTTTGCATTGCTAGGGATTGAAGTTAATTCTTTGAGCATGCTAAGGAACAGCTCTACCACAGATCTACACCACTAGTCCAAAAGCATGATTCAAGTAGAATCCAAGTAACATCAACCTGAAGTAAACAAACAGTAAAGGTAAAGTTCTAAAACAGATATAGCAATTTTTTAAATCTTAAAAACATCTTCCAAGATTCCCCTACCTTGTTGAAGAAGTTACTTACCCCTCTACACTTGCTGGAAATCCATCTCCTCAGTATAAGCAACTTAATAGAATTAATTGTAACAAACCTCTACAGAACTTTGGAGTAACTTGGATTTTATGTAAATAGGAGTTTTGGAGTCCTGAGCCCCGAGGCTGAATCAACATAAAAGTCTGAATTCATAAACGGGGTGACAGACCTTGGGCAAACTTACAACTCCTCTGCTCCTTTTGCTGCTACAGTTAAATGATGGTTGTCATCTCTCTTTTGGGGTGATTATAAAAAATTACATAAGAATCACATAAAGTATCCAGAATGGTCTTAGTAAAACCCACTATCATGAAAATTGTTTTTTAAAAAACTCTCCAAAGCTGTAGCAGATATGTAAACACTAAAATTATCTTCATGCTTTCTAAAAGATAAATTTGTGATTTGAAAGGAAGTAATATTTGAAAAAATTTACAATATTACTGGGGTATTAAAAACCATCAGATAATAAATGTTTTACTGCTGCAATAAAAGAAAAAATATTTTAGTAAGTTTTTTACAGATTTTTGCTATGGATAAAATTCAACTATCACACAAAGAATCAAATGAATCTGCATCCAGAGAAGTAAAGATACTGTGGCAACAAAATACAAATGATTATAAATACTTTACTCCTGGAAATACGTATTTTTAATGTGTACTTCACTTCTCTTTACAAAGACATTCTAGTATTCTTTTTATTCAAGTGAAACAATATTTAAAACTTGAAAGGTATGTATAGACTCAAACTTTTCAACAGCCTACACTTTAAATCATAATTTATCCTTATTGTTTGATTATAAGTTTTGTGGACTTGTTTCTCCCACTATTGTGTACTTAGGCTAAATACAGTTAACATGCATTCAACCAGTCTTTGAGATTTGTACTTCTCACCAGAGAAACTGTCAAATCTCAGGTATGAATAGTTCTTAATATTTCAGCATTTAATAATTTTAAAGCTATTAATAACATGTAGACGTCTTATGCTCACTAAAAGCTTTCATATCTACAAGTGCAGTTGAAAAGGCCACAGTGTTTAGGCTGTGTCTTTTAGGAAGGAATTTTTTTATATTCACAACATAATTAGGAGATTTCTAGAACTTAAAACCTAAACCTTTAATGATAATCAAAAACCATGCACATGCAAAATAGGGAATACAATCATATTTTAAGGGCAAATGTAAAAAACTCACTTTTCATATAAATAGTTTATATCACTTCAATGACTTTAAGAGTCTGTACTTCCTTAGAAAGTGTATGAGGAATATTTTTCTTTTGACTAATACACACCAGTATCCTTGATTTTCCATTAAAAAATTCACTTCGTTGGGGTTTGTTGGAAGAAGGAGGAAGATGTGAAATGCTATCTGACTATAAAGAAATCTTATGTCACCTTTGGCTTGTTTTGGTTCTGGTCGCAAGTATGTGTGTCTGAGTGTGTGACTGCCTGGGAGAGACAAGAAGAAAGAAGGGTGTAATGAGTAAAATGACAGTTTACGAAGCCTGTAAAGTCTATCTTGGGTCAAATTCAAATTCACAAACTCCTCAAAGGTCTCCGGATTTGCCTAGAGCTACAGACAAAAAAAAAAAAAAAAAAAAAAAAAAAAAAAAAAAAAAAAAAATCAAGTCAGCACCTCCCATCTCCAGACCTACTAAAAGCCTGTGGTGAACTTAACCTTTACTCACTGTTGCACTAAGGGGGCAGGTGCACTGGTTCTCGAAGAAAAAGCAAAATACCCATTCTCTGTGCCATTGTCAGAAAGGAAAAGAACAGAAAAGATAGAGGAAAGAAGGAAGGGAAGGAAAGAACAAAAGAAAAAGAGGAAAATACAGGAAGGAAGGAAAAGGAAAGGAAGGAGGAAGCGGGAGGAAGGAAGAAAAGCAAATGCTTAACATCCACTGACAATTACTTTGGTACAGTCACATCTGTCTGCAAAAACATATCTTACTCTAGTCTCTGAAGGCAGAAGGGCAGTTGGGAAGCAGCCCAGCTCGCGTGCTGCCGTACCTGTCAGTGTGATTCTTTCCTCTGGAGCCACCGAAACGTCACGGTTTCCATGCACTTTGAGGGTGCTCGGATTTGAAGAGGCTGCCTGCGCTCCCGAGACCTTCGGGGCTGGCCCTCGGGCGCGACCCTTCATTCCCAGCGACAGCAGGCGACCTTTGTACATCCACTTCTGCAGCTTTTTGACTGTCACTGCGGGCGGTCTGAGGAAGGGGGGCTCCTCCTGGCAGCCGTCCTTGCCGCTAGGTATCACAGAGGGCCGCGCAGGATCCCTGAACCCGCTTCTCGAGGAGCAGCCGGGGTCGTGGGTGCAGGGACGCAGGAGGC